AGTATATAACAATTACAAGTTAGCTTAACATAATAAAGGCGCACAGATAGGTAGTGTATCAAAACAGATGACTTGAGTACGTATCTCCTCTGGGTATAAGATGCTAAACAAGACTGCATTGTTGAAAACGATTTGAATACAAAATGTTGGCTTCATCGATGAGTAATATTACATGACATTCTCGGTGTCCTGTCACTGACTAAGAGAACAGAACAATCGCTGACTAACACAATGATGAGAGCTTTTGTCTTCATGAATCATATAAAACTGTTGTCTGGTAAACCTCCAAACTTATCTTCAGACGCAAGCCACGTTTTTATTTCTCCTCATCCGCCTTGATATTGTAAAATGAGATGTCCCCCTCCCCAGACACCACCTCTTCCAGCTCCTCACCTTTTTGTGTCTCGATATGACACTGAAGCCCTAAAAGTGTTGCCTTTCAACCATATATATTTAAATTGACATGGCTAACTCACTAGCCGCTGTGTTTCAGATAGGAAGTGATCGATTTTGGCTCAGATTTACTTAAAACTGAAAAATTGTCACCCCTTTCTCTCTGACTACTGCAGTGAACCTCGTCATTTTGGTGTTAAAATGTTCGTATTAACCCGCTCTGCATGATCCTTGGTGTTTTTATTTTGTTTGTAAATAAAACAGCAAACCTCGATGAGCTTCATTTGACTGGAGTTGTTTTAAACTACCGTATTTTCTGGACTATAGGGTGCACTCATAAGCCTCCAAAACCATCAGAAAACGAGTGCGCGCCCCACAATCCAGAGCGCCTTATACACGAATCCACTCGTGTGTCCCAGCACGACTTCAGTAAACTACAAACACGCAAACACGCACGGAGCAGACGGCGACCGCACAGCGAAAAACACCCGCAGACACACTCATCACTCCACACGGATGAGGAATGGAACGGAGGAACGAACTGAAAAAGCGAGTGCAATGTGCCACTTCTAGCCACAACTGAACAACTGAGTCACTGCGAACACGCCGACAATCCAGCGGTCCCAGACAGCACCCTCCCTACACGCCACAACTGAACAAAGCCCAGAGTCACCGTGAACGCGCACAAACAAAGTCCCACTGACCCATCAAACTGTTGTGTTTCGTTTAATGAGCCTTATAGTCCGGTGCAGTTTATTTGTGAAAAAAAGTTTGAAAATAGACCATTTAATGACAGTGCGCCCTATAGTGCAAAAAATACGGTACGCGACAAGTCACATTACAGGTCAGATCTGAGAAGAGACGCCCCTATTCACAGAAGGAATTATTGTATTTTTGAGCAACAGAAACATATGACAATGAATAAATTCTAGATGTTATAGTACAGGAATGCAATGATCCAGCTTTTACAGTTCCGATACCGATTCCGATACTATGGATTTAAGTGTCTGCGCTGTTATCGGTTGATATCGAGTATGAGCAGAGACTGAGAACAGCATTTATTTCCAAATCCCAAATCCACTTTATTTCTATAGCACATTTTACAAACAAAGTGCTGCACAGAGATCATAAAATGAAGATGACAAAAAGGTAAATTGCTAATATTTGGTCATACCACTCCTAAAACAATAAAACCAGTAAAAGCAATAAAGCATAAAAGCAAAAACCCATAAAAATCTGAAAACGGCAGTAAATAAAATTCCCTTTAATCAAAAATAAAATAAGACAAAGCTGATCATAAGATAAGATAATCCTTTATTGTCTCCCATGGGAGAAATTTGTCTTGGGACAGGGGGTAACATGCTTTATCAAAAAAACAGGACAACACAACACAAAGCAGCACATAAACAAACACCATAAAACAAAGTAAATATGAGACCAAGTATGACCACGAGTGATGCACCAACAGGACCCTTAAATTATCCTTAACAGGCAAGTACTTGCATTCTTCTGTTCTATTAATTATTGCACATTCCCTAAGCCTATGTACAGTTTTGATTGCACATTCCTTAAGCCTATGTGCAGTTTTGATTGCACATTCCTTAAGCCTATGTGCAGTTTTGATTGCACATTCCTTAAGCCTATGTGCAGTTTTGATTGCACATTCCCTTAGCCTATGTGCAGATTTAATTATTGCACATTCCCTTAAGCCTATGTGCAGATTTAATTATTGCACATTCCCTAAGCCTATGTGCAGATTTGATTATTGCACATTCCCTAAGCCTATGTGCAGATTTAATTATTGCACATTCCCTAAGCCTATGTGCAGATTTAATTATTGCACATTCCCTAAGCCTATGTGTAGTTTTAATTGCACAATCCCTAAGCCTTTTATAATTATTTTTTAACTGCATTATCTGAGTTTAGCAGTTTAACAGCTAGTGGCACAAAAGAATGTTTGAATCTGTTCAGTTTACAGTTTGGGACCCTGTACCTTCTGCCTGATGGCATCAACTCAAACTGACTGTGAAGAACATGGGTTGGGTCATTGATCACCTTCCTGCCGAGCTTCCTCACAGTCTCCTCAAAAATTTGCTGAAGTGAGCTTGGGGCCACACCCATTATTTTACCTGCTCTTTTAGTCAAGGTAAAATCTGCGCTTTAAGTTTGACTGAGAGGTTACCAAACAATGTTGACATCATGCAGCTGTTATCTCTCAAGTAACCACAGTACAACTTTGTATAAATAAAAACTCTATCATTATGAGACTTTGTGGGCCAACTACAGCTAGTACATACACCAGTTTATATTTCCAATCAGGATATTGTCTGAACTGATAATTAGAAGCTGAAATCTGATCCCGCAAATTTTATTAATATCAGCACTGCTATCCCTATATTATATGTAGGATATGTATATGTTTAATGTCAGTGTTTCCCATAGCACTTTATAGTTAGGGCGGCCGCCTTGACAAAAAGTGTCCCCCGCCTTAACTACGTCCCTCTGAACCACTTGAATCCTCACAAAACTAAGGTCGTTGCACGAAATCTCCGCACCCTCCCTGCTCCTCACTTCTTCTCTGCCCCTTCCCCCCAAAAGCACTGCCTTGCCTAACCAATTTTCTGTGGGAAACGCTGAATGTCACAGTATGGAATATTCCAGGCCAAACATAACATCTCGATGGAGACAAGTAAGTAGCGTAACCCGTAGTATTTGTAAGTTCACAAACTCACGAGAATCCATCTTGAGGTGCTTTTGCTGGACAGTTTAAATTAACCCCCGCAGTGTTTGGCCCAGTCAGAGCTTCTGTGGCACGGGGAGGAGTTTCAGGAGACGTGACGACAGCCCCGAGCGCCAGGCCTAAACTGGATATAAGGTATATATGGGTTCAGTCAAGTGGTAACGGAGGGAAACAGGAGCAGATTTTTTACATTCAAATAGCTCTTATTCAGAAACTAGAGGGACTATTGAAATAAGTAAAGTATCAGAATGTAGGAAAGAGTTAACACTCCAACAGGGTAAAGTTAAACCTGTGATATTATTTCAAATTGTTGACAAAAAATTTAAAAACTCATGTTGGTAACGGAGGGAATGAAATATGCAGCACTTTTTGGGCAATAAATATAAACAGTGATAACTCTTGGTTCTCACTTACATATCCTTAACAAACTGGTTTGAATATTTGCTTCATATAGTTTTCTACCATATGGTACAAGATTAGGTTGAAAAACCTCTTACTTTTTGAGTAATGAGATTTTTTATTAAGAAAGGTCATGGTAACGGAGGGAAAAGTAACAGAGGGAAAATTGAGCAAACAAGTAGAAGGTGCATGATTTTACATAATTTGTCATCTTTTTTCTTCCAAATACTTTAATATTACTTCAAAATGAAAGGAAACTATTTCAAAAAAATATGTCAGTCCTTCCAAGCTAATTTTTATTATTTTAAATATATATTTTTTGAAAAATCATGTACCTTCATCAACAGTTCAAAGATGGAATAACACAAGATATGATGAAATACATCCATTTATTTACATGATTTGCAGGTCTTTGAAATTTGGGAAATAATTTTTGTTCCATGTTTCATACATGGTCTGTTTAAAACGTATGTAACTTTAGAACTAAAAATGGTACAGAAAAAAGGTAAACAGTTTCATAAACTAGAGTACATATTCTATCTGTTGAATACATTTTTATATCAGATGCATTAACTTGAATTTTTGGCCTTGCTGTTTACTTCTGCTTGACCAGGCCCATATACAGTCTGTGGCCTTCACCAACCAAAACAAACATGGTGGCGCTGACGGACGGTGATGGAGCCTTGTAACGCCCTTAAAGCACAAATTTCTATCGCAAAAACGGCTAAATTTATTTATTGACATCTTCCCTCTCCAGTATGACACTTGTTTTGGTTTTACCTGCTGCAAGTTGGATACATCATTTTGACAGGTTTGCCGTGATTGGCTAAAAAGAACCGGGTGGGTGGCACTTCGGTGTGTTTGCTCAGTCAGCGCGAGGCGTTCCGCTGCAAGTCCTTTTTCTAAACGCTTTTAGTGAGAGCCGTTCCAGATGGAAGAACTCAATTCAGAGTGATATGCTTTATCAATCTGGCATGACGCAGGTTATAAGAAGTGGACCCTCCATCAGAAAAGTTGCGTAATGCACCTTTTAAAATGAAAATCAGTGTTATTTATGTAGTTATTCTTTGGTTTTGCATACACTCTCGGAGCCTGTATGGATTTGACAGTGGACTGAGGAACGCCGTACGGGACACACCACTGGATGCTTTAGCTGAAGGCAGTTAGTCTCTCTGTGCTGCTAAACGCTCCTCTCTCTCTTTCTCTTTCTCTCCCTCCTGAAACTGGAATTCCTAGCGCTCAGTTCCCCCCATTTGGCAAGCACTTGTGAAAACAATTCCCCAGCTTTTAGTCACTCCGCGGATCCAATTGCCATTTCCACTTTGCGGCGAGTGAGAGGCAGAAAGAGAGGAGTTTTAATCTGGTTGGACACATGCCTTGGCCAGTCGAGTGCTGTTGAGATATTAATATCTTATGAGAGCTGTCTGGCAGGGGAGGATCACCGGGTCTGTGTGTTTTTGTGTTTCAGCGGTGACACAGGAGGAGGAACAGGAGGAGGACGAGGAGGAAGAGGAGGTGGGAGACAAAGTGGAACTAAATGAAGACTTTGTGAACATGTGCAGAGAAAGGGCTGGTCCTTTCGCTGCAGACACTTCCACAGATGCTTTGGCCCAGAGAAAGATGGAAACCAACGCGGAAAGTAAGTCAAGCAAAACTCTCACCATTTATACATACATTGATTTTATTGATTAAGTTCTATATTTTTTCTTTATTACACACTTGGTTATTTATTCATGAAGTGAAACTGCTTTGTGTGATTGAATATTCATTAGAGACTGACCATTACGCATTTTGTTATGACCTCTGCCGATATTTTTGGGCTGATGCGTAGTCGATTTAGTCAATTTTCCCGAAGTTATCAAATTAAAATTCCCCACAAACTCATCCATTTCATCATTTTACTACAAACTGTGAGTCCAGTGCAGTCACATTTTTGCAGTACCCTTTTTAGACTTAATGGTAACTGCGTAACTTTTCTGGTGCAGGGTCCACTGATGTCCCGGTATGGCATTAAACGTTTCCATCTTGCCTTTACTCAATAACATGGGTTGTTATTGACCTACAAACTTGCTTTCTTACTGTGTGTGGGCTCGCCTCTCCACAGATCTGACATGTAACTCTGACCCTCTGGTGTCTTCGCAGAGATAAATAAGTGTAATGCCATAATGTGGAACATTCCAGGCCATATCTCCATGGTGAGGAGCAGATGACAGACGCTCCACCAGAAAAGTTACACAATGCACCTCCATGTACTGCAAATTTCTCTGATCTGGCCAAGATTTTAAAACTTATATCAGGTTATTTGTCTTGTTTACAGATTTATTATTTACTTACTAGACCAAAGACGGCTTTATTCTAGTCTAGAGGTAGTTTATTTTAAGATAGCTTGTCAAGTAAAATGGTCTTGCTGCATGGACAGATAATTTCTCTACTTTTAAGGCATTTTCTGATTCTGAAATTTTGGCCAAGCTTTTTTTTGCAGTGTGTAACTACAAAACAGCTTTGTATAAATGCAATTTCAAACATTTTGAGACTTTCTGGGTCGTATTACATCAATTTATCTGTCCAACCAGGATATTGGCAGTATGTATATTTGGAAGCCGATATTCGATCCAGAAAATTGTTCAGTGTCGGCGCAGATATCTGATACTGGGGTGTAACGATATCCGAAGTCTTACGATACGATATCGTCACTTTACGATATTTATTGCAATATCGTGAGAAAGGTATGATGGAGAGGTTCACGATTAGGGATGTAACAATATCCTAATCTCTCTGTACGATATTTTCACGATATACATCTCACGGTACGATATTTGTTGCGATATTTTGTGCAGGCTTATAAACAAAACTGTTAATATGCTACTTTTTCCTCTTAAAATGCCTTGACAAGACTCAGTCCAAAAAACTAAGACTTAAAAGTGCTTAGAACTGCTATTTCTTCATGTAGTCTACACTGAAATGGAGCAAAGGATCATGGTCTATGTAGTTCCCTCTGTCTTTTTTTAGCTATTGCTGCACCATAACTCTTAATTTAACGTGAAGAGACTTGTAATTCCATATATATTATGATTGTCCATGGTATTATTGTGAGAATTTGACAACGATATTTCGTTTATTGTTACATCCCTGTCTGATACTAATAAACAGAAAAGTGCATCTCTAGTCAGGAGAACTAAACTGGAAAATGTCTCTACTTAATGGAAAAGACATCTTAGTATGCAAGTCACTTTAATATGTGACTTGGGAATCAAATCTCAGCCAGTCTCTGTAACATTTGGGCCTGGTAATAATCAACTCACGAGATTATAGAGAAGCTCTTGGTGTCGGTCCAAAGCTTAGAAAAAAAGGAAAGCGTTGTACTATAAAAGATTGTATTGTACATCCTTTAAGGTGCACTGCTTAACTTTTCTGGAGGAGGGTCCGCAACCGTCTCGTCTCCATGAAAACATTATTGCTTTGCCTGAAATACCCCACTGTATGGCATTAAACTTATCTATCTCTGTGACAAGACAAGTAGGTGATGCCAAAAGGCCAAGTTACCGGTCAGATCTGCACACAATAATAACACATGATTTTCTAAGGCATGTTGTGCAATAAAAAGTAGAGCCTGACTGATACGGATGTTTTTGCGGCCCATATAATACCGAAAATGGGAGTTGGAGCTTCTGATATAAAAGCTGATATATTTAGTGATGTAAAAATTCACTATAAATCTTTTATTGATTATAAAACTTAGGTCTGGCTCTACTGGATTTTATACTGGGTTTATTTAGGTTACATTTATTGTTATTCTGTCTCTTTAAAGTCATATTTAAAGGCAGTAGGTTGGCCTAATGGTATTTTTGCATGACATTCTAGCCAGTAAACAAAGTAAGTAAACCACCACTATCAGCCTTTAGCGGTAAATTAATTATGCGTAAATGCTGATCATTCACACCTCTATTCACAGCTCATTTACATAGAAAGAACGGAAAGTAGCTTCAAAAACTGACACATTTGTTACACTCACCGCTCATACAGGGACCTCTCAGATCACAAGTCTTTACTAATAAGTGTCTTTTCAATCCTGTCTCAAAACAATAGTCCGTAAATAAAATATAATCCAGAATGTTGACAGCAGCTGCGTGTGTAAACAAGCGCATGCGAGTGACATGACTCTGGGGGTGTGTTCAGTACGGCATCACAGACACAGACAAATTACTCCACAGATAAATACTGATGCTCCCCCACATATTAGGACATTTATCTGTTTGTAAATTGGATTAAATGGACATAATATAGAGAGACTAAACTTTATAACGAGGTATAACATGCCCACGTGGACTAAGAAAGATTGATAACTTTAGTTGTAGTAGTTTTATTCAGTCATTTTGCAGCACTACAAAACAAAACAAAACATAGACTACAACCCCATGGATCATGACCGAAAGGGTTTAGGCTGAAGTAAAAAGTACTTATAATGCCAAACTCTATTAAACAATGAGAGAATTTCACAAAAGGAAAGCAGCGCATGGACAGCAAGTTTACAATTTCACTTTTATATAAAAGACAAAATATAAATTAAAACAAACAAAATTAATATAACATATATGCATAATTCATTCATTCCAGAGCTCTATATCTTCCAAAACATAACGCTTTATACTCTGTTTTTTTAAAGCTTCTACAGTGTACAGTGTTTTTTTTTTTTAGTTCTTATCTTTATTTTTTAAAGATGCCAGTTTTGTTTTCGTTTATGGTCGTACAAACCAACAATAATAATGACAAAGACGACACAAAATCCATCGTCCATGACCACATCAAAACAAAATGTAATGTTAAAGAAAAGTATGTGTTTAGTCAATATTCATGTATGTGTTTAGTCAATATTCATGGTTTATTATATGTAGTCTTCTAGGTATTATATATATATTTATTATATGTAGTCTTCTAGGTATTTCTGTAAGATTAGATTTTTATATTTTAATGCCATACGGTGTTACAATCCAATCCAAACAAAGCAATAACATGTTCACAAAGAGTAGAAAAGCTGAATAGTGTAGCTTTAAAGTATCTATCTTATATCAAATCAATACAGGAATCATCGCAGTGTTGATGTTGATTTAAAGGAAAAGCAAACTGTAGTGAAGTAAATAGCTCACCACTCATATGCATCTACTCCCAGTCAGTAAAAGTGCTATCGGGGACATCCCTATCTTTATTTGAACCAGAGTCAACTCCACAGTCAGCATTTGTGTTTGGAAAATATGTGAGCGAGTTAATATCTGTGTATCTCTGCCAAGTGCGCTTCCTTCAGCCAAAAACCATGAAACACTCATAGTAAACAGACCTCTCTCCCTGCAGACTCAAGCCAATCCTGCAGCACGACTCCTATGGACTGAGCCAACCGGGACCTCGCCCAAGTATTCTCCACGTACTGCCGACATCTGACCCCGAAAGCCCCCGAATCTCGCCATGACCTCGGAGCTGGAGAGCAGTCTGACCTCCATGGACTGGTTGCCGCAGCTCAGCATGAGAGCCGCTATTCAAAAAACTGACCCCGGGCATCACTACCACCACCACGGGCACCACCTGCACGGGCCCCACCACCTCATCGGGCACCAGCATCACGGGACGGGCGCAAAGAAGATCGCGCACCTGGACCAGAACACCACGCTCGACCAGGAGGAGGCGGCGCAGCACAGAGACGGGAAACCGCCGTACAGCTACGCCAGCCTGATAACCTTCGCCATCAACGGGTCGCCGCGGAAACGCATGACCCTGAGTGAAATTTACCAGTGGATCTGTGATAACTTCCCCTACTACAGAGAGGCGGGGAGCGGCTGGAAGGTAAGGGACTTTTAATTCATACAAAGTTAATGTAATGTAGACAATGTGTGATAATTTTAAAGGTGCACTTTTTGGTTTGGGGGTCCGTCACCTGCTTGTTTCAATGGATATGTCTGCCTATCTCTGCCTGGAATGTTCCACAGTATGACATTAAACAGCTCTACCTTACATTTATGTTTTTATTCAATTACAGGTGGATTTGTAGCTCAAAAATACCTAGAAAAACAGGAATTCTGACTGTGAGTGGGGTTGCCTCTCCACAGGTCTGACCTGTAACTTAGTCTGGTTTGGTCTCCATGAAGATATGAAAATTTAAAGGGGCAGTCCCGAAGTTTTAGACATAGGATCTCATTTCCTAGTGAGCCAGAGTGTTGGAGATGTGTGGAGACACTTTTTAAATATTCCATCCAGTCCTTGTATTTGCAGAGGTCGAAGTAAATCTATTACTACACCAGACTTGTTGATGTAAATGTCTGTGCCGATAGAATAATATTTGAAATAAAACTAACCTTGCGTCGCATGAATCGTCGCATCTTGAGGGACTATTTTCTCAGCAGCGGCGGAATTTTACTTTGCCGGTAAGATTGGTGCTAGGTGATATCAGTCCGCCACTGACAAAGTTTCTATCAGGAAGAACAACTCACTGCTGCTGCTCAGACATCAATCCTTCAAATGCAAGGTTGGTTTTACTTTTAAAATTATTCTATCAACACAGACATTCACATGGACAGTCTGGCGTAATAATAGATTTGTTTCGGGTGTTTTGTGGAGTGGGTAAGACTGTTTTTAGTGGCAGGATAACTATGGACCATTGACATGCACTAGCACCAGTGACCTAGCAAATACAAGGACTGGAAAAATGTCTCCAACACTCTGGCTCACTAGGAAATGAGGTTCTATACCCAAAATTTCGGACTCCCCTTTTGAAAGGTGCACTTTTTGGTTGAGGGTCTGTCACCTGTTGGTTTCTATGAATATGCTCTGCCTGGAATGTTCCACAGTGTGACATTAATCAAATCTACCTTACATTTTTTCAAATACATGTGGATTTATAGCTCAAAAATACCATTCTGACTGTGAGCGGGTTCGCCTCTCCACAGATCTGACCTGTTACTTGGTCTGGTTTGGTCTCCATGATGATATAAAAGTTTAAATCCAAACTGTGTAACATTCCAGACAAAGCTTCTCCATGGAGAAAAGCATTTGATGGACTCTCCACTAGAAAAGTTACACATTGCATCTTTAAACAGACAGCAGTTGTTTTTCAAAAAAGTTTTAGGATGAACCACAATGGAGAAATAAGCCAATATCTTTAGCAAATAAACTTATTTCTTTGGACTAAAGGTTTCATAATTTTTTTTAAAATGTTGGACAAGCTAAAGAAATTTGAGAAACCATGATTCAGCGTTCATTGTACTTTAAAGCTGCACTGTGTAGCTTCTGCAGGGTTCGTCACGTGCTTGTCTCCATGGAGATGTGCCAAAAAATTCCACAGTATGACCATAAACCTAAGAATCTCCATGGGGACTTGGACAAGGCAAATAACAGGTTAGATTTATGGAGAGGCGAGCCCACTCACAGTAAGAATGTATGTTTTTCAAGACATTTTTTGTTGTAAATAAAATGTTTGTTATAAAGACTCGGAGTTGAATAAATACAAGACACTTTAGTTTAATTTAATACTGTGGACAATTTAAAACAAACAGGTTGTGGACCCTCTCCAGAAAAGTTACACAGTGCACCTATGTTATTATTAGCGATTGTAAAGGTGCAGTTATTTCAACAAAAAAAAAAAAATCAGAATTGTAGTTTTTTTGTGTCACTTATAATCCACACTTTTAAAGCATATAACTCTTTGGCTTAACTTTTAGCGGTTCTCAAAATGGAGGCCCACTGGTTGCACAATTGCTTTGTTTCCTCATTAAGAACTGGGTTTGTTTTTGTCAGTCCCATTTTGTGTTGGGAAGTGAGTCAGAACTGTGTTAATGAGTGTTCGTTTAGGTCTTGATTTAGTTTGACAGGTTTAGGTAGGCTACTGTTTATGCCTTTGTTCCCTTTTTCTTGCTAATCTTGTCAGGAAATGACAAACACATGTGAATATGGATGCAAATCAGATCAATCACACCTGAAAACACCTCAGTAGGAGTTGTCACCTTCTCACTTTGAAATGTATGTGTCCTCTGGTCATCTCAGGTGATATAAACTTTGTAACATTCAGATGGGAAATGGAGAAGGGACATACTCCTGGGGAGGGCAGGATGTTGGTCTCTGGGTAAGGGCAGGCCTGGACCCTGTCCATATCATGATATTGTCATAATAAAATCACGGTATTAAACTGTGTGTCTTTAGGCAAAAATAAGAATTTTCAGTCTGCTCCTGTGACACATAGTACAGTAAACTACATTGGCCATAATCCTTTGTGGTCATGTCATTGGCCAGTGCGCCCATTGTGGATGCACCAGTGGCTTTTAAGTCTGACGTCTAAAAGCATTTTGGGTTTGTCGTGACATGAAATGTGAAAAGAGAACAGGTGACGGACAAACAACAGACAATATGCAAACACGGCCAGTGCACCGTGCGTACACCTCGAGAAATACTAACAACACGAGAAGTCACGTGATAAGCCAACACGCAGAAAATTTTCAAGAATGTGTTCAGAAAATCAAGTCGGGGCAAAAAAAACTATACATGAAGCATTTACAACAGCGCTCCAGAAATAACGAAATACATCACAGAATATATAGCGAGTGATTTGGATCAATTTTCCACAGTTGAAGGTGTTGGGTTTAAAAAGTTTGTGGCTAAACTGGAGCGAATTACACAATGCCATCACATTAAAGTTTTTTTTTTTTTATTTCCTACGAGGAGGACTCAGATATACATTGAGTAATAATGTGTTTGATGCAGCTTTGTGCACATTTGTTGATGTTTTACATAAAATAAACTTAAAGCCACATGGTTCATTTACATAAGCCTGAAAAAAACAGCTCGCTCCTTGAGCACTGAGGTGGTTCAGCTTCTGTTGGACTTACTCTGCGAGGCTCCTGACTAGGGATGGGCATTCGATGAAATTTTCTTAATCGATCGTTGGAAGAATTAACGATCGATTATCGTCATTAACGTTTTTATATTAAAATGATCATCATTATTATTACTATCTGCACTACTAATCTGCATAAATAAATTCAACTTTACGACATATAAACCGTAACCACTCTAGAGCCACATCAGTCCGTTTGACATTATAATGTGTTTAATTCAGTTTTGTGCAACTCTCACAGAAATGAAACTTAAAACCACATCGCTAATTTGCATAAACTCAGCAAAGATAAAACTACAGCTCTTGTGTCGCTGATGCGGTCAGTTTCTGTCGGATTAACAGACATGATTCAGTGGAATACAGGTTAGTGTGACCATATTTGCGTTTGTCAAAACCAGGACACCGTACGGGAGGAGGGAGGTGGGGACTCGTCATCGACATTGAGCGACTCTCACCTGGTAAAGCTTTTTCCCACTGGACACCGAAACATATGTGCTGCTTTATACACTGTGCACATGGACTCACACTTGTCCCGAACGCAACGGAAAGCGTGGAATTTCTTGTAGAAGTCATCGTTAAATACGCATTTGTGCTTCGGTACGCTGCAGACTGACCGACTGTTTGTGTCTCGCTCCTTCTGAGTGCAGAGACACATGTACACACCTGTTTGGTCACACTACACACAGCAACCTACATTCGGTTTGTCGATTAAAATTTGCGTAATCGATGAAATTCTTAATGATCAATTATCGATTAATCGATTAATCATGCCCATCCCTACTCCTGACTATACTTTTATTACAGTTGTTTAGTTGTTACTTGAATTTTGCACATTAACTTCAAAGGCTGTCATTGGTATGAGTATGACAATAAATGTTGTACCAAATAACCGGTCAAAGCATTTTGTAATGTCAGTCTTGTTTTATGTATAATATTGTAATATCGTGAGCCTCCCCACCATATCCTGAGCTTTCCCACGATATCGCAATAAATATCGTACCGTGACGTTCTTACCGTGGCAATATCGTATCGTAACGCTTGAATATCGTTACACCCTAATTATTTATCATCAAGAGATATATAATTTTTTTCCTACAACATTAGTTTTAGTGCAGCAAATTTGATGCGATGAACAGCTCTTATATATCACAAATCGCAACAGTTGGCAATAAAACGTAAGGAAAACATAACGATCCGAACTGTATCGCACCCAGCTGTAGCCGCCACTGTCTCCTTGTTTTTTAATAATACACTAAAATCAGATTTAGTTATCGCCTGCAACCACACACACACACACACACACACACACACACACACAAACCCTTTAGTGAACTGCGTATGATTGGCACCTGCACTTCTCCCCATTCAGACGCCATTATTAAATCCGTATGTAAATGTAGCTATGCAAATCCTTGGCTAATGTGAGCACAGAGGTGGCACTGATACCGCCAGCCGAATGAATAGGTCCCTATGGCTGCGTCTGGGGGATTCTCTGCCTTATTAGCGAATAAGCAGTAGATGGATGCTGCTCCTCCACTGACACATTGAAAAGACTGTCTGCAAACGCTCAAATCAATTCATCTTTTTGAGAACGGGGACATATTTCTACCACTCATTATTTCTCATATTTCCGAGCTTTTTTACTTCTTCTTCTTCTTCTTCTTCTTGCCTCTCATACAAATGTCATGCCAAAGAAATCTAGACAAAAAGGTTAGGGGACAGGAAACCGCTTGTCTTGGCAGAGAATCCTACCTGCATGCACTCAATTAGTTTTCCTTTCACAGCGGTGTTAGAGGGACGCACTGCCTTGTCTTAGCGCCTCATATTGGGTTGCCAGGTTGGTTCAGTATCTGGTAATTACAAGGTGCGATTCATTGATTCGCGTGTGCCGCTGCATTCAGGTGGCATCATTAAAAAGCAAGGTGCCAAAAAGAGGTGGCTTTGTGGTTTGGACTCATAT